GCGCAAGACGGACTGTGAAGGGCGGCCAGGCATCAACTACAGATTTTAACGTTAAACAACGACGCAGACGGGAAAAACTGGCCGATCCCCCTGTTATTATATTTCTGCGCCGGATTTTGCTACGAATAAATCACGGGAAAAATATTGGACTAGTGGAACTCACCGAGTTTCTTGATTAAATTTTATAGACACGAGCATACGATTCGAATATCAGCAAGGATCGCTAGTAACAGTACTTTTTAATTTTATTGATTTTATTCGAAAATTGGCAATTAATGAAATAATCAAAAATTTGAGTTTTTAATTAGGTATGGGCAGTTTTACGGGAGTAAAGAGGGGTTAACTAAATAATTCTAACCTTCTTAAGATGATCTTCAATTATCAAAATAATCGGCAATCTAACTACTGCAATTATGGATTGATGAAATAATTTTAAATGTAAATGTGTGATTATTCATTGATAATTTAAGTGATTTAATAATTAAAATTTGTATGATTTTAACAGATTATATATGTCGTAAAATAATGTTATTTCCTTTTTCAAAAATTTAATCATGGAGCATGATATCAATTTTATAATTTTTTTTTCCTGCGCCAATTTTCAATAAGTATATTTTCAAAAGGATACGGCAAAGAAATTTGAAAGTTGCAGGACTCGTCTCTACCGTGCAGATGACTTTGGTACTTGTTTTTTTATACTAAAAGTGAAAAAGTGAAAAAATACAAGGTACAAATTTTTTTCCTGAGAAATTCAATTTCGTTGAATATTCTATAAAAGAACTTATTTTAGAGTAATAATATGCATAGGAATTTCATGGGAATCAGGTTTAAAAAATTTTAAGACTTACTTTTCAACCGTGCGGCATACATTCATTTCTGGTCCCTTGTTCCCATGATTCCCAATAAATTCAAGCCATTATTTTTTCGTTTACTTACAATGATCTTTATTACTTACTCATAATATTGATATAAATTAATCACTTAAAGTAATAGATTCACATCAGATATTCATTACCATCGATTCATAGCGACCAATTGTGATATTTATGGTACACGTTTCAATTGGTTGGGCCAGAATATGAGATCAAGGTGACGGTATCTTTTTTTCGAATATTGAAACGTCAATTTTCTCTCAGACAGACGAAGATATTCTCCTGCATTTCAAGATGTCCAGCAAAGACTTTGCTGAAAGAGGTTTTCTTCTTTTCTTCGTGAAACCTTCTTCAGTCGTCGCAACAGAAGGGAGACTCATTGACAACAAGAAATTTATTTTTGTGGCCATTTTTTTGTTGAAATCCTGTCCAATTTTTGTAAATAAACATCAGGAGCATATTAGTAAAAATTTATCAATTATTTAATTACTGAAACTAAATATTCTAATAATCTAAAAAAATTATAGAGTCTACTCATTGAGAAAAATTGAAATTTTTTATTTTTTTTTGAAAAATATAATTTTGACTTGTTATCTGAATTATTCAAAATTCTCCTCAAATCCAACTATCACCTTGACCCATCAATTTCCTCCATTAATATCCGACAATTAAAATATATCAATTTAAAGCTATATTACACCCCAATACACATCATCCTTTAAATTCTCCAAAATTATCCAAAAAATGTTCACCCCAAATTTTTCACTCATCACATCGATAGATCCAACAGTATAGTTCTTTGATTGTATTTTGAAAATATATCAATTACATTATACTCTATATATCAGTAAAAGTTTCAACACGAAGTTAATTAACTCTATCAATCGAAATATCCCAGAACGTTTCGTGATAATCAATAATTTCCACACAGAAAGAATCCAAAATAAAATTTACTATGTGAATATCGTAGACGAGGACCATACCGAAAAGACTTTAAAATTTGATATATTTCAACTGAATTTTTGCGATGTGATATTTATTTCTCGTTTCGCTCGGTTAGATCGCGGTTTTCGTGCCCAATGACATAAAATATCGCATGTCACACGGCGATAAAAGCATTATCTCGCCTTCGGCTCGGATTATAATCACATTCGCCAGATAATACTTTTATCGCCTTATAAGATACTATTATCTTTTGAGTTTTCACTTTCTGCTATACCGACTCGCAGTTTTTACTATGTTCCACAGTCATTTTTCTTACGGACTCGATCATATTCTAATTCCGTCAGCAGTATTTTTGGATCCACCGCATCGTGATTTTCCATTTGTCCTCAAAATTACTATGTTGAACAGTAAATTTTAATGTCTGGCGAGTATGGTCCTGCGTCCAATTTCTCATATCAAAAGATACTAAGTTCCCACAGTAAAAAATATTTTTATATTCTCTCCGTGCACATCACCACTTGATTTTTAGATGCCCATCAGAAATAAAAAGACAGTTTTTTTTCAATTATTTCAATTAATGATTCCTCTTTAGTTGTATGACTACTTTATATACAGGAGCATGCATAAAATACTGACAGCTTATCGCTTACGAATATCAAAAGACCACGCCTGGAAATATGTATACGCGCCCCGAGTGCCACTCACACTCAACATTGTCCTTTATCCGCACTCAACCATTTGTCTCACTTCACTCGGAATAATCTCGTATTTTTTCTCATTCTCTTCACGCTATCCCTTCATCGTAAAAAATGAAAAACAATGAACATGGGATTAAAAAGTTTGGCCGAGTGACTATAAACATTCGTGGAAAAAAATTATCTGAATAATAAAAATCTTTTGAGTTGTATAGGAGATAGCGTATACTATCAATTTTATATGTCATCCACATCGTAAAACTAAAGTTAATTGCGAGAGCACAATTGTTTGAATTATAGATATCAGTTACGGTGGAAAGTGATGGACAATTTCAAATGGAAATTTTTTTCATTCTAGTATTAAATTATCTCGGAAATGAGTGACTGCAGGTGGAGAAAAAACAGTCTTGGGATACATTCCGCAAGGTGATATTTTATGAAATTTTGTTATTTTTTTAAATGAGAAATTATATCCAAATATATTTTTTAAAATTAAATAAAGAATTAGAAAACCATAAATTCGACTTGACATGATAACCTTGAATGTGGTCGCAACTCTTCTCGATCAGCGTCATCTCTGCTTGAACTTGCGTCTAGAGAAATTAAATTTAGCATACCATTGAGGCACCAGTATCCGAACGTGTAAAAATTTTCCAGTAATAAAATGCGTTTTTTTCATTATTCAGATGTAGAATCGCCGAAAAAATTAATTTTTTGGGAACCTCAATATTATTCGCGTAGAAAAAATCAATTTGATATAAAATTCCTTCACCTGTGAACAATAGTAAAAGAAAATTCACGAGTTGGTCGAAACGTTAGTGCCCGAACGGTCAAATGGCTCTTGAATCAGTATCCTAACGACCAAAGGCCCTAAACCCGGATGGTGCAATTTCTTGTGCTCATATACCACGTTAAACGATTCTTCTCATGTGTCGAGTTATTTAACGTTTTATTCAATTAGTTATATATACAAATGTTATATTTTTCTCATAAAGGGTCGTCTTTGGTATTTGATAGAGTCTGCTCATTGCTCCTAAGCTTTGCCCAGTTTTCAGAGCTGCGAGTGCCTTCTCCAACTCTTCTGCACAGTGATTTTGCTGCTTTTTCTTTTTTAATTTTCCCTTGTGATCGATCAATCATTAAACAATAAATTTAATCCTCGGAATAACATTTTGGTGAAGAAAAGGATGATAAGGTGCGGGAAAATTTGTTTGACAGGTGAGGTTAAGTAGATCGTTCGAATATAGCGACGTTCGAGTTTTCAATGTCAGTATTTGAACACCAATTTTTCTACGATTTCGCGAGTTTCTTTCCCTATTTTTGTAGTTCAATCGCGTAATTGACTCTTTTCTTCACCGAAAGTAATGATTTAATTTAGTTTTTGCCTACATTTTCCGGTTAATACACGCTACACCGACCAGCGTCTCTAACTAACTCGGTTGAGAGGTGGGTCCTAAAGGTGTCGTGTCAGTGCGGCCCGTCACAAAATTAAAATTATAAAAAGATTCCTATTTTAAATCTGAAAAATTAAGCTTGGGTCGAACACATTATAATTTTCTGTTTCTATCATTATTTAATTGAGAGTAAAAAAGGGTGGGAAACTGTATAAAAATTTAGAAATAAGTCATAATTAGTAGTATGCGTTCGGGTACTCCTACGTCGACGGTAAATAAGAATATATTTTTCGAACAATGTCATAAATAAATGGACAAAACGATGATTGATCACCTCCGATGATTAACCTTACTATATTCTCATCACTAGAACGCAAGTAGCGCCTCGTACTATGTCAACTCCGAAGTATAGGGAGTAGTGACGTAATTATCTTATCTCTAGAGAATTTTTAGTTGAACGAAAAGATGAGATTGGGGAATAAGAGATAAGATGCTGAACAGAGTATTTGGATCCAATATGGTGGAGTGAATTCCAATCCTATTCTCATCAGTCAAATCTCGACTGGATCTGTATTCGATACGGTACTGATCAGAAAGTTCACATCCTAGCATTTTGATTACCCATGGATCCAAGAAACAATACATTTTCGATCCAAAACTGATCAAAATGAGTTCTGGCGGATCAGTCTCTTATTCTAGCCTGATTTGAATTTCCACCGGGGTTCTTGCAGTCAAAACAATTGATTTTAATAATTTCTTCATTAAAAAAAACGTAGGGTGGTGTGGATAAATGCACTTCCAACTTTTTTCTCAATGTTTTTAATTTCGGAAACCAATCAATTCAGATCAGCTTAGGTTCACTGTAAAAATGAAGAATTGTATTTTGCATGGAAAGACAAAATTATCCCATTTCCCTAATAATTCGATGAGTTATTAACATTTTCAAAAACGCCAAAAGTGTCCATCCTTTCCCACTCATCCATATGACATATCCCTTCCCGATGATTTCTGCTGGAGACACTCATTCTCGAGATATTCTTAAAGCTAACAATACTCACCAAAAAAAAAAAAAAAAAAAAAGGTAGTTTCATTTTTAAACTAATCATCTTAAACTGAGACTTATGAAAGTCTCGAATGGAGATGTTCAAAGGCCCCAAATTAAGACTTTCAAAGATCTCAAATAGAAATTTTTAAAAGTCTTAACTTTAAGCATTCAAAAGTCTCCATTTTAGTCTATGAAAGTCTTAAATTGAGATCTCCAAGGCTTAAATAAAGACTTTCGAAAATCTTATTTTGAGACCTTTGAAACTCTCAAAATAAGGTAATATTTTTTTCAGTGCTTAAAACTGTGTCCTACATCACCTGCTCTCCAATAACCCCACCTCCAACAATAGCAAATAAAAAATTTTCAAACTAAGATTACTGTGACTATCATCACCACCAGTTCCTCCAAAACCCGCCATTTAATCTCTCCCATTAACCATCAATTCAAGCTCGCTCGTTATCCCCACATACCCTAACCTCATTTACCATGGTCAAAACCTCTAACATGGGACTCGCTTAATGGGTCTTTCATTTCTCGAAATTGCCCTCGGGGCTGGCCAGTTAAACGCGAGTATTACCACTCTCTCACACTCAATTAAATGGCCGAAAATACACGTACACGAGTCATCCAGTATAACCCCGATAACCATATCATCCCAACACACCATTCACCATAAAGTTGGATAGTCCGCAAGACCTCTTGTTTCTACATTAAACAGTTTTACCTTGTGCTGTCACAGTGATGGTTTTTACAATGTTTTATGTTACTTTACACTATTTTGTCACGGCACCTGCATGTCGCCCGGCAGAATTGAAGTCGCTCTAGACCTTGTTCGGTATCGGTCTGGCACAGCCAACCGGGCCACGTTTCATAGAGTTGGCGACAGTTGGCCCACAAGTCCGCCCATGGACAGGCATTCTTACATAGCTTGCCGACGCTACAGTGGTCCTTGCAGCTGCTGCACGGCGGGCCGGCTGTGTAAGGTGTGCTTAGACGATCCGGATGATTGCCCCTGTCGATCATAACACCTGTCTATTATTCATCATCTCCACATTCTTTTGTTCTTTTTGGGAAATAGGTGCATGGTTTTCTTTTCGCAATGTTTTACAAGTGCGATGGGGAGAGAAGTTAGTTTCGAAGTGGAATGATTTAAACACTAATTACTGGTGACTTATATGCGTGATTGAAAGGTCATGATAATTTGTTGAGATCTCTCAAATGTAGGAAATCTTATAGAAGGACGGAGAAAGTCTGTATAAGTCTTTTCGGTATAACATTAGAGAATGCGGGACTTCAAATAAATTTGTCTGATTCATACATCATACTCTAAGGTTTATCAGTGCAAACAATAATCTGAATTCTGAATACCAAATTTTTATCAACAAAAGTCAATTTGGATTTTCATGATATACAGGGTGTCCCATAGGAATGTGTGAAAACTAAACTCATCTGCCGACTCATCCAAAATAACCTTGACTCTCTACGTTTGTGTTACGTTTACTAGGGGTCAGTCAGTTTCATTCCAACTGTGGCAGGAGCCTTAGTTTGATAGCAGTAATGAGTGATTTGACAATTCAAGAAAAAAGATATCTCATCGAGTGCTTCTATTCGAAAGGGAAAAAATACTGTGAAGCTTTTAGGGGGTTTCGTACTAAATTTGGATCCAAACGAGTTGCTAACGAAACCACTTTGAGGAGGTTAGAATAATTTTTTTTAAATATTCATTGTGTGACACAACAAAACACATTACAGATTTTTGTAGAAATCCCGTTGGTTTCTAGTCATGATAATATTCTTTTTCTAGAATAATTGAAAATTTCGAGGAATACGGCACTTTGGATGATCGTAGAGCTACTCTTCCAGGTCCCTCATTCTCTCCTGCAACAGAGGAGAAGGTCGATGAAGTTGAACAGTATTTCAAGGCAAATCCCAACTTGTCCATTCGGAGCGCCGCTCAAGATTTAAAATTGACCAAATCAACATTGCATCGCATCCTCCACGTTTTTTTGAAACTTCATCCATATAAAGTATTGATGTGTCAGCGTTTGGCAGAGGAGGTGATTCTGAGACGAAAGGAATGTTGTGAAAGAATGACACAAATGTTCGAAAATGGCGAGCTGCATGAAACAGCAATTGTTTTTTTTGACGAGGCACACTTTTGGCTAGACAACTACGTGAACAAAAATAATTTGAGATTTTGGGGATCTGAAAAACCTAATTTTTTGGTTACGAAATCTGNTCAACATTGCATCGCATCCTCCACGTTTTTTTGAAACTTCATCCATATAAAGTATTGATGTGTCAGCGTTTGGCAGAGGAGGTGATTCTGAGACGAAAGGAATGTTGTGAAAGAATGACACAAATGTTCGAAAATGGCGAGCTGCATGAAACAGCAATTGTTTTTTTTGACGAGGCACACTTTTGGCTAAACAACTACGTGAACAAAAATAATTTGAGATTTTGGGGATCTGAAAAACCTAATTTTTTGGTTACGAAATCTGCCCATCCACAGAAAGTCACTGTTTGGGCTGCTCTCTCCATGAAGGGTGTCTATCTACATTTTTTCGAATCTACCGTTACCGGGAATGAGTACAAAAGACTGTTATAAACAAAATTCTTCCCTCATCAATGTCATCAACTCTGGTTTTCAGTTGAAATTGGAATTGTTAATTTACCCAATAATAGGAGTGCATTGACGATTTTTTCTTAACTCGCAAAAATCTTTAAACAATTTGCTACCGATTGGTGATAAAATTTTTTGGAAATAATGAAATAGGGGGGATAACGCCTTTTTTTTCAGGGGTGATTTGTCAAAAATTTATTTTAAAAAAAGTACTAACTAGCAAATGTTTTTTATTAGCTCGCAATTTTCTTCAAAACTACTTCAATGAGGAAAAAAATAAAAATTTGGAATATCTATACATGAGGGGCTAATTGATCGGATCTGGGTGAACGTTGATTCCAACTATTTAAGCGACGGGCTATTCAGAACTCTCAAAAGTATGTGGAAAAAGTGAAAACTGAGAAACCGTTTTTTTTTGCCCCAGCCAAAGGGTCAGATTTTCGGGTTTTCCGGGGCAAGTGGATTTTCGACAAAATCGAATTTTTTAGCCGGGTGAACGTTTATTCCAACTATTTAAGCGCCGGGCTAGTCAGAACTCTCAAAAGTATGTGGAAAAAGTGTAAACTGAAAAAGTTTTTTTTTTCAAATTTTCAAAGGGTCAGATTTTTCGTTTTTCTCGGGAGAAAGTCGACTTTCGGCAAAATCGAATTTTTTAGCTGGGTGAACGTTGATTCCAACTATTTAAGCGACGGACTATTCAGAACTCTCAAAAGTATGTGGAAAAAGTGAAAACTGAAAAAAAAAATTTTCACCGGCGGCCACAGGGTCAGATTTTCGGTTTTTACTTGGAACAAGGGTCAGATTTGTTAACACTTTCTTTTTTTATTTGGACAATGCATGCAAGCGGAGGGGCAAGAGTGGCTAGAATAGATTCTGCAACCTTCTCCGCTTGTTGGATAAAAATGTCAAGCCTCCGCATACATGCATCTCCCCTCCACCCTCCCGTGAAATGTCGATTTTCGAGATTAAAAAAAAAACAATAATTGCATTTTTTATTTCAATAACGCATGAGTAAATAGGGATATGAACGCAGATTTAATATAGGCCCATAGAATTACGGGGACCGGCAAGGATTTGGAAAGTCTGAATGCAAGTCCTGCTTACACCTAACAAGTGCTGAAGTGGGACATAACCAGAGGTAGAAAGGTCTCGGAAGCACTTGGGAAGAGGCTTCCCAAGACCTATCCAGTTCTGAATGGAGAGACCTAAGTAGAATTTGTCAGGTCCAATTATTCGACTCGGGTACCTCTCAAAGAATCTGATCGTCAATACAGTACATACACTGAAACGTAATTCTCTGTTTCTGACAGTATTTTATTTGATCTCGTTAAATGGTCATTCAGTCGAATAACTCTGCTGCAAAAGAACTGTTTGCTTAAATCTAGACTGTATACTCCTAACAAGAGTTTGTTTTCCTCTCGATAGATTTTTCCGGTATACATTCATGTCATAAGTATTTTCTTCCCTTCCGATGCCACTTGAATTTCTACCAATTACGCGGTGCAACAAAATTGGGATGAGTTCGACCTCAGAGATTGGACCACCACGATCTTATAGATTTTTTAACGCTGATTTCAAATCCGTTTGGAAAATCTGTCTGAGCACCTCTCGTTTTCGAGAAAAAAATGTTAAAGTTGTGAAAAGTACCTAAAATGGACAAATAGAAAAATTGATTAAAAAATGATTCTAAACGCAATTACTCGTATGAAAAAAATGTAAATTGTTGAAAGTACGATTTTTAAAATAGAGCCGGCCCCCTCTCGATTTGGTGCGGAAAAATAAGGCAAAAAATTACGAAAAATGAATAAAAATTCTAGATTTTTGGAGGAAATTGTATCACCGGAAGTTGGCTATGCGGATGTGAATCATCGCCAAGTTCAAATCGAACCACACACATGTTGTAACCTCCTCTGGGTCTGTAATCAGAAAAGCAAAATACCTTTCTCTCAAGGAAAACTGCTGATTATCCTCGTTAAAAGTCATCCTCAGTTATGGGAAGATGTAATACCTGAATATACGGCAGATAATAGAGCGATTTGGAGAGAAATTGCAACTTATTTTGATCCCCCAATATCAGGTACTTTTTTATCAGTATCAAAATGTGATATTTCACTTCCGGATTCAATATTGATATATTTTATTATTAGGCCAGCAGATCTGTTAAAAATCCCAATAATATGCAATTGAAGAGTGCGAGACTTGGTTATCCTTTTAAACCCTTCTGGAAACTGTACCAAGACATGAGGTTTTTTCAAGAGGCACATGAGATCGATGAGTCAATTAATTCCGATGATGAAATTCTGTCGCAAACCTCGACGTTCCTTGACAGCTCCAGTGATTTTTAAGCAAACCCACTGAATGCAACAATATGCTCCTTCCTTTTTCGTTTTTTATGTTTATACATGAACACTTTGAATTGAAACAATTTGTTGTTATTCCATATGGTTTTCTCGATTTTTTAAAGCATATAAAAATTGAAAAAAAAATTGAAAGACGGGAAGAAAACGCCTTTGAACTTTTAGAAACCTAAACCTATTTGGACTTACTACCTATATAACTAGCTAATGAATGGGATTATTTTCACACCAACGTACATCATCCTCCAAGAGCTCATAGTTTGTATTTGCATTATAAATGAGTTGTTTATCTTATAGGTATCCTCTGGATTTCTAAGAAATTGCTGGGAGGTTACACGTGTGGTTCCACTATAAAAATCGTACTTTCGACAATTTACATTTTTTTTCATACGAGTAATTGCGTTTAGAATCATTTTTTAATCAATTTTTCTATTTCTCTATTTTAGGAACTCTTCACAACTCTTCACAACTCTTTAACTTTTTTTTTTCTCGAAAACTAGACGTGCTGGACAGATTTTTCAAGCAGATTTGAAATCAGCGTTAAAAAATCTATAGGATCGTGGCGGTCTTATCTCTGAGGTCCAACTCATCCGAATTTTGTTGCACCGTGTTATCATCGAAGTTTCATCCGAAATTTTCAATCATTGGGTATTTAATTAGTGAAAAGTACTGCTGCAGAGTTCTCCGATAGTGGAAAGTGAAAGTTTTCATTCGTGGATTCAGTGAAAAATTGAACAGTTCGTGGCCTAATTGAAAACTCTCCTATCTCTCGAGAGAGTGCCGTACAACATATCTCTCAGAAGCATCGGACACATGCAATCTTCAAAAAGTTTGACCGATGTGGAAGCTCTGCATTGCGCAATATGTAAGATTAATTCTATTTGATAATGAGAGATAATGTGTGTTTCATAGACGCGGGATTTTTTTCTACTCACATCGACAACATCGATTAATGAACTTCCTAATTGGGGGGAAATTTAATGCATATTTTCTATTCTAAGATTGTGACCTCGCGATAACCTCCGGACGTTTTCATTTGTGATTACGGTGGATGGAGATTGCGGGGAAAAAAGTTTTTATTCAACGTGCAATTTACTGCAAAGTAGCATGCGTGGAGTTGTGGAATATAAACTTGGGAAGGGAGAGTTGACTCAAAAATTCAACATCATGAGTATTTATTCTTGCGGCGAAGAACTATTGTTTTATTATGCGATAATGATGAATGCAATCGCATCCATTTTTTGAATTAAAAAAAGGGTAATTTTTTCCTTCATTTTCAATTTGAATTTTTATGAACTGCTTAGCTTATATAAGTGCAAGGTGTTACATTTAATGAAAGATCATTAAGCATGACAAATGTGTATACTTAATTGTTTTTTGAATGCTTGAACAATATGACATAAATAGTTAAGATGCATTGATTTAATCATTATTTTTTTATCGAACAAAAAACAGCTCCATAGAATGGATATTTTTTTTTATCAAAATCGATCAAGAAGAACAACAAATCATTGCTGAGCTCAGCATTGATATTAGATGTTATGTACTAGGAAATGTTCGATTTCCTGAACTGCTTACTTTTGACAAACTCATATTATTGTGTTGAATAATGATTCATTTATCATAAGAAAAATATTTTGCCAATTGTTTGTTGAATCATTGATCCACTTTTTATGAACCGTTTGGCGATATATATCTAATCACGATTTTTCAACAATGAGGAAATGATTTCGCTAGTGTTTTTGATGTACTTTGCAAAAAGATGAGTGTTGCAATATTATATGGGTGACGAACTAGGTTGAACTTCATGGAGTATCGCAGTGAATCATTGCTACTTCGGATGACAATGTTTGATGTTACGTGCCACAATTTTTAAACTTCCATGAACTACTTCATTCTCACAAACTCAAATCATTACATCAAATGAAAGTTCATTCAACATTATGAATATTTATCTCCAATTGCATTTTAAACAATTCATAAATTTGATATGAATAATCCAGTCACATTGAACCAATCACGATTTTTCGCTGAACAGGAGAGATCGCAACTTTCAATTTTGTTGTCCATTGCAAAATTATACGTGTCTTTGCCTAGAATGCCTACAATTTGCTAGAATTTTCTAAAAAATCATCGTTACTCTAAACGATGGAAGTTGGTGTCCCATACTGCAGACTGCGATTTCATGAACTGATTACTTTTCAATAATTTAGGTAAGTACATCGAATGCAGATTTGTTTGTCTTAAAAAATCTATCTACTCAATTGTTTTTTCAACGATTCATCGATGGGTAATGATTGTTTCAGGCGCAATTACCTAATCACGTTTTTTCACTGAACAGGAAAGATCTCTGCGATTAATTATGCTGTCCACTACAAAATTATAAGTTTCTTTGTATAGAATTGTTTGTCATTCACATCAGTCTACATGAAGAAGAGTAAAAAATCATTGCTACTCTAAACGATTATGGTTGATGTCTTACACTGCAAAATACGATTCCGTGAACTGGTTATTTTTCACGAATTTAGGTGACTACTTCGAATGTAGGTTTGTATGTCATAAAAAATACATCTACTCAATTACTGTTTGAACAATTCATCGATGTGATGTAATTGGTTCACTCATATCTACCTAATCACGTTTTTTCAACGAACAGAAAACGACTTCACTAACAATTTTGCCTTCCATTCCATAAATATGACCCCACGATTCTGCGTAGCAGAGATTTTGAGAACTCCATAAAGAAAGGCAAAAAATCATCGCAACTCTGAATAACGATGTTTGATGTTACATACAGCAAAATGTGCGCGTTCTACCCCATACTTCCACCCGGAAATTGGATTCCACTTTTCGTTCCGCCCTCCCACGAATGTCATCGCAAAGAATGTCGAGGGTGATTCGATCGACAGACGTCCGGGTGTGGGTGGGGCAGTTGCTTTTTATAGATTTCAACCAGTCACGGTATCTCGTTTTTTCAACTTCCGACTTTTCTCAGTTTGATAGAAATCCCCACCAGCAACGTTGACAGTTTACCATGCCACGAAATGTCGATGAACTCGATTTTTGGGATGCATGTAGCTTATTTAGTTGTATTTGCACTTTATACAATACGTAAATCTTTTTTATGATTATTGTCAGTGAAAAATTTCGATGAAAAATGTTGCTTTTTTTATGGAGTGTAAATATCACACGGCAGAAAGCGGCGGTATATTAAGTGACCTAAACATAGATCGAGTGATTTCAATCACTTTAACAAATATCATTCCGTCACGAAACCGCGGGAGATATGCCGGAGGCCCATAAAACTAAGAAAATTCTTTATCTTTGAACGTATACGTATATTTAACAGACCCCCATAACTTATCTTTATAGGATGCAGCTATACTGGTCATGTTTTTTTTTACTTCCCGAGTATTCATAGCAAGTGAAAAAACGGGAGCGGATATAACGCACCAGCAGACGAATTTATTTTTCAACGAATTCACAAGACCAGCTTGAATTATCCAGAAGCTCAACGGGCGTAACGAACATTTGCAGCACAAAAAATCTTGTTTAAATCTAAGAGTTTAATTCATTAATTTTTTCACATTGTCATAAGTAAGAAAAACGGTTACAAGAATTTCTAACATTGACATAAGATGAAATACAAGATTATTTATTTCAAACAAATCTGTCATATGTGAAATATGTGTAAATATATTTTACCAAAGACTGGTAGTGATGAATAATTTCCCATCGCCTTCCGTTAAAAAAGATTCTAGGCGATTGCGAAAAGCTATTTATTCTGAGTCTCCTATCCGGAAAACCCTTCGACTCAGCGAAAGATAAAACTCGATAAATAATTCGACCGTTAAAAGCAAAACCAGAAGCTACGGACTGAATACGAGATCATGCATTTTCCTCACCAAAAATCCCCAACTACTTTAGTACAACCAAGTTTCATTTTGTTGTAGACGTGAGACATTTGCACACTTACGCGGGACAGTAGTTGCAAACGTAACTGAAGTATGGCCGTCCCTGTGGACCCCTCGTACCGTTGCACTTGGCCCAACCGCATCCAACACGATGAGTTGACGCCCACACCATCTGTGTGTAATGGCCTATTTGGCTGAGATCGTTGTTCGCGTGTGGACCATATTTGAAAATCTGGTGCTCCAGGTACCATGTTTTTATGGCGAAGAACCTGTAATCAAAATTTCATGATTGAGTAGTTTTTGACATGAGAGTTTTCATAGATTTATGATAACATCGTACTGGCCATTGCCATGAGGATTAATAACAAACATGATTAGCCCTCATTGGGAACATAACTCGATAAAATATAGAATCATAAAAATAAAGTAAAATAGACTGCGGATAATTATGGTGAGTACAATTTCTCTCGATTCTACCTTCTTGTCGCTAACAATATTTTCCATTTCACACGCATGAACAACAACTCAATATCAACTCTATCTTCTCTGTTCCGGTTTTCTGATCTGATTCATCGCCTTGTGGGTAAGTCATTTCCTCATTCACTCTTTTTACTCTTCACAAACATGTATAGCAATAGATGATGAACCCCCAAAGAACTATATTCGCTTCTGACCAGACAGTACCGAATTTGTCCAAGCTAAGCAAGCATCGTTAAGTAGCCATTTGAAATGCATGGCAGTTATCATGAATACGTAAGACGAATCTGTTGCAATGACTAATCAGTGATTAGTCCTATCAAGTTCCTTACCCAACTCACTAATAATAACATCTCCTGAATATGTTCTCATTTATTCACACGTAGTTAATTTGCTCGAAACTGTGTCATCTTTGCTTAAACTCCCAAATTCACTTGATGATTGATACCATATCAAGTGTCGTTCTTCTCCACATGAATTTCACATACTAGAATTCCTCAACATTCCTCAATGTCATCAAAACTTCATCGAGGATAACATCGAAATCTGGTATGTTGTGATCTGCCCCGTCCTAGTCATCATTACCAATTCTCCATCCACTCTAAGTAGCAAGAGCACATAGAACCCGTCGCATTTGACAGCCAATCAATGATTCATCACTCCTATCTTCTCACGAAGCTCGGTAATTGAAACCGTTGTTGAACCTGTCGTCCCTAATCAAATTATAATTACCTTCTCTTAAGCTGTCACATCCCATCTTCAATACCGAAACAATATTCTCCCTATTTTTACGACGAGCAATGAACTAGATCGAACTTCATAATGAAATACAGTGCATCCCTGCTACTGCAAATGACGATATTCGATGTTACACACCGTAAATTGTAAAATTCCATAACTGCTTATTTTTTACAAAATGATATCATTACGTCAAATAAAGGTTGATTGATGATAATGAATATATATTTCCGATTGTTTTTTAAACAATTAATGGATTTGATATGAATAGTTCAGTCACATTGAACTAATCACGATTTTTCACTGAACAGGAAGGACCTTTACTGTTAATTTTGAAGTCCACGATAATATTGCATTTTTTTTTTGGTAACTTGTTTCAGACTATACAAAGAAGAGCAAAACTTCATCGTTACTCTGAATAGTGATGTCTCATATGCCATACTGCAAACTGTGCAATTTCATGAACTGATCACTCTTCACGAATTCAGACTATTACATCAAATGACGTTTCATTGATATTGCAAAAAACATCTATCCAATTGCTTTTTGAACAATTCATTCATGTGATATCAATAGTCCACTCACAATGGTCTAATCACGATTTTGTGATGAACATAAACCGACTTCACTAGCAATTCGCTCCTCCACTCTGAAATTGAAACTGTTGTTGAACATGTCTACCCTCATCGACCCATAATTACCTTCTCTTAACCTGTCATATCTCACATTCAACACCAAAACAATCTTGCTTCACATTCACGTCATGACTTCCCATGTTCGAATCATTCTCGACCTGATTTCTAAAAAGCTTAAAAACTTGATCCATCACCCCCGAACTAAACTAGCCCACCTAACCTCGGATCAGTCACCCCATCCTTCCCGTTAACCTGACACTAATTCCGGGAGGACAGCATCCCGGGACTCGTTATCGTCCTTTTCGCCTGTGCTTTTGACAAACGCCCCAAGTTTGTTCGCTCGTCCATCCGGCCAGTCAACAGGTGGAGATACCCCCCAGAGCTATTGCTGAGAATCATGTCTGAATGATGTCCTCCGTCCATATTCAATACACTGCATTATATAGCATCAGGGTAGAATCATCGTCAAGTGTCAGGATTGATAACAGAGGAGAAAAAATTCCGTTTCCAGAACCGATTTACTGATTTTTTGAGACGAATGGTTACAGGAGGCATTGTACTCAAACTAAGAAGTCGTTCTATTATTTTATTTTTAAATATATTAATTTCATTTCCAAGTCATAATATAGCCATTATACTGTTTGTCAATTGTAATCCAGATAAAATATTATTTATATTCATAATTAATACAATTGCTCAATATTTCAAATGTCAACAGGCAGGGGTTGGAGCCTAGTCGACAGAAGGCATGTGACCGTTACTTTTTGCGTTATTAGTCTCTATCTTTTTCTACTTCTACTAATTCCATTGATAGCAAGCTTCCAAATGGATCCGTAGCAATTTTCATTCAATCATTTTTATGTTGATTATTTTCTAATCACCCACTTCTAACGCATTTTTGAGTCATTACAAAGTAGGATTGAATCAAGTCGAGAATCTACTCATTTCAAGCAGATATGATCGACTTGGATCGAGTATCTCCAACAAATATCAAGGCAAGTTGGCAACTTGATTGAAGTATCTTCCTACTTAACTGAAATCGATTTTTACTTGAATTCAGTCGCCAACTCGACTGAATTTTTTATTAATGTATTATCCACACATGACCCCCATCATGCTTATTCTGACCCTCATGACCCTCATTATACCTCTCGTAAACCTTAATCTGACCGTTGTGAATCTTATTTTGACCCTCATGACCATTATTTTGACCCTGATGAGCCTTAATTGTAGAGTCTTAATTACATGTACCAAATTTTTATCACCAGAAAATTTAAATTTTTACAATATAGAGAGATAAATTCTCATGTTATTAACGCATGTCAATAAAATATCTGAGATTTACGTACACGTAAAGAAGTATTTTGTGAAACCTCTGAACTTCTGCTGACGCTGGTGCAAAATCATCCCGATAAAAGTAAACGAGACGGGAAATCTTCTCTGTGCATCGAAACGCGTAATCTGATTCGGTCCCTGCCAAATCAGAAACTGTCTAGGTTACGTTCATCTTCTTGTACTCTACTTTCTCTCTTTATTTCTCTCATGGTCTTTATTGTTATGCCAGTTGTGGAGTTTGTATAGATGTAGCTGTCTTACACTAGTCTGGACTCGGGGCACTGGAGGATTAGATCGATTTCGGGCACTCGTGAAAAAGGATGAGAACGTGATTCGATTTGCGGAAATTGCAACATACGAGTAGAAGTTCGATGGGAATGAGAGATACACCTACGTAGATAGTTCGCAAGGGGAAGTTGATGACTGAGTGACACTTGACATTATTTTGTCTTTTATGGCTGAGACGATAAATTCATTTGATAGGGGCATCTGGTGGATGAGAGAATATCTATGAGTTGATGCTTCTTCTAGATATAGTTTGGTGCATCCACTCACAGAGAAAAATAATTTGATTTTCGTGACCCTCATTATACCCCTCGTGACCCTTATTTTGGCCTTTAATTTTGGAATCTTAATTTCGAGTACTAGATTTTCATCACTAGAAGGCGATTTGGATTTTTATGATATGGAGAGACGTCGTCGGACTCAAAAAAACAAACAAAAATGAAGCAAGAAATACGCAAGTGAATCAATGTTTCCTCGACCCAAATAAAATTACCCGGATCAAAATCACTAGATTAGAACCATTAATCAAATTTTCGAGAACAAGACACTTACCAGGCTCAAAATACAGGCGACAAGACAGAAATATTCATGATCACAATTATAGCCAAATACCAAAAGGCTTCGGATTCAAATAACCCATTCTTATTATTCATTGACGATGAGTCGCCCAGATGAGTAGCGTCATCAGAATGCTCTTAAATAAAAGACATCCACATATCCCAAATCATTTCCTCGGGGGATCATCTCGCACAGCTAAAAGATTCCATATTTGGCTTGACCGACTCTAATTGCAGCATCGTGTGCTTTATCCATCGATATACCGTAAAATTCCGCGGAGAGACGTTCTGCATATAAATTCTCTCCTCTTCTTCGTCATCTGTTTTAAAAATACACGAAGCATCACTCATAACCGTCATCCGTTAATTTCATTTGAATTTCAAAAATGACTACTGATAGGACGTAATCATTAACTCTCTCTCTTTCGCTATAAATATCTCGCTATTGGATTTAATTTTCATTCCGTTACCCTCACTGTATATTCCTCCGAGACATACTGTAATTTTCCTTTGAGAGTTTTCTACAAGGCGTTACAGACAGCCCTCCGAGCTAAATGGCTCTACAGCACGGGTGTAAATTACACGTTTGAGATTTATGTATGAAAGGCGTAAATGTGAAACTGGATTAAACGAGAAAATGAGGGCGATTAAGGGAACGCCAGAGGGCAAGGAATATGATATGTTTTTTGTTCACTGGCAACGGAATATTCAATTTAATTTTGTAAACCATCAGTAATTCGAGAATATCATTTGAAGGTGTTAAACATGATGAATGCCGCCAGTCTTTTACTGTTTTTCCGGGAAAAAAGGCTGTCTTACTTGAAATAAGTAGAAAATTGATCTTGTCTTTAGATGGTGTAGTTATTTTTTATGCAGATCATTTTCTTCTATGACATATAATTCATTGTTCAAATTTATGTTATTAAATGGAATGGGATTTATTTTTAAACAATTGTGTCAGATTTTCAACTTAGCTGAATGGTACCAGCATCATGATTTTTGGTATCCCTTTCTTTCATACAACCGATTGTCTTTGTCACGGTTACGTCAAAAGTGCAACTTATTGTTTTGTTTTGCGTGCAGTAAGTTGCGTATTATGACCTTGTGCATTAAGCAATGATGCCATGCGATAAGTAACGTCTAGGGTGATAAATACGCGCTACGGGCCCCTCTGGTGGCATAAATAGAGAACGTCGCGAGGACGACGCCATGACGACAGCTGCAATATGAAATGGCGTTCAG